TATAACATTTTATCCATACAGCCATCAAATTCCCTAAATTTCTGTCTCCTTATTCCTCGTGATACTTATATCTAAAGGAGAATGCCATTCAAATAGGGGTGGGATGGGCCAAGACTGTCACAGTTAGAGGCTGGCTAAGAACGAAGTGTCTCATCTTGTGCAGTGACGGAGCCTAAGACTGATGGGAGAATCCAGAACCTGAGTAGGTTATCAGTGGTCTAAGTGCAGAGAGAAGAACAGGAAGAAATACGGAAGAGGGATCAAGGTAGAGTATGAAGCTATGAAGTTGGGAATCAGCGAGAAGAATTCTGGAGAGAGTAGATTAGAATCAGAGGGATGGGGAGAGATTGAAAAGGGTCCTGAGTGCTGGTCCTGAGCTTAAGTCGTGTTCCATTATTCACTCATCATCTGGAATGAAATGGGTGGGTGATCCAACTTTCCAAGACAAGGCTAGGGTGAATAGGCATTTGGAATGTGAGAAGAATTGGTCATATAATGACTTGTACAATGCTAGAACAACAACAAGTTGTGCAAATGCTGCTAAAAAAGTGAGTGCTCAAAAGTAATTTCAAAACACTATCAAAGGTCATATTCATATTCTGCTGAAATTAAGGTCAGTTTAAGTTGAACAAATTAAAGATTTGGAAAGATTTTAGAGTAATAAATGTGAAAAATAAACCTAGCATTTCACATACTTACACACATGATGTGCATGTGGGTGTGTTTCTGTTTCATCAACAAACATTTATTCTGTAAGCCTTGCTATGTACCTACATGGAACTGAGCACTCAGGATTATAGATATAAGTAAATACTATTCATGAGATGCAACATGACTACTAGTTAGTTTTACAAAAGGAAAAAGAACCCTCCTTATACTAGTTATTTACTCTGCTTTCATTATATGTCCTGGATTGAGATAGTCTAGGATTTTGTCACCTTGTCTCAAAGGCTGCCTATCTCCATTACACTTTAGAGTTATTATCATTCTGAACATAATTTTTATAACCTCAGAACCTCTTCTGAATATATGTGATTGCCCAAGTTTTTGCCAAAGATTTTAAAAAATATATGTGTATATGTTGTTTTAGCTATAGTAGGAACAATCTATGTAGGATAAAGCTTAACTTATGGCATAAGGTCCTGGATGCTGGAGCAGATATAATCATCTATGACAAAAATACAGAATTAAATGTCTAGTTACATGATTGATTGTATTTTTCTTGCTATAAGAAAAAACTTAATAATAATGCATTGGAGTTTTTGTAAAACTTCTATAAGCTTACAGCATGCTTTCATATCCATCCTCTTATTTTCCTTAAAATAACTTAATTTGCAGTTGAAAATATGAAATTCAAAGAAGTTTAACCACTTTCCTAAAGTCACACAGCTATTATGTATGGATCCAGAAGCAAAACCCTGATTTTTCTACTCCAAGTAGAGGACTCCTGATTTCTCATTACACAAATAGAGTGATAATAGCAAGTATATTGTAAATTCTTTGATGCCCAACTTTATACTGAAATTGTGAACATATTGTAAAGGTTGCACTTAGAATGACTGTCCAAGCTGGCTCAGTGTTCTTAAGGTTTTCCTCCCCATTTCTAGGAAGTTGGCCGTGCCCCACACAAGTGCCTGCACTAAGCTTTTGCCATTTTTTTTCCTCCTGAAGTGTTTTTCCCTGGCCGGGTATTATCAATTTCCTAATTTCTGAATTCTGACTCTGCATAGTCCCTTTAACATATTAATGGGATACTTCACTTGACTTTTTATATCTGATTATCACCTGGATGCTATATCTGGGATCCCCATTCGCCAGCTCAGAATTTCAAGGCTCAGTCCTTACCTAATGCTATTCCAGGCTTGTGCTCCCAGGACTTCAGTCCCTGCCCAATTTTCTGGACTTTCGCTCTTCTAGGAGCAGACTTTAAACAATTGTGAAGCTAAATGGAAACCTACGAGTTCACTATTTATTAAATAAAAATATTATTTTCATATGTATAAAAGACAGCATAGTAATTATACCTGGTGGGCATGGTTGTGATGATAGCTTGCCTCCAATCAACAGCTTGGTACCAAAATTAGGCTTGGTTAAGTAGTAAGGAAGCATTGTGTTGCATTGGAAAAAGTACTGAACCAGCAGCCAGGGGCCAGGGTTCTAGCCCAGGGTCTGGATCTGCCTCTAATATACTATGACTCACAAAACAATTATTTAACTATCAAGGGCTTCTGTTACTTTGTTAAATAAGGGCAGTAAGCAGCTTTCTATCTACAAATTTTCATATTTCTGTGAGGTATACTTATAAGTAAATAGGTATTACACGTATGATAAGATGTATTTATACACACAATTCCTTGCCCCATATATTTCTCCCACCTTCTATTATGAGGTCTGAAGTCTTATATGTAGAATTTATTCATTGAACTTTGAAGAGTCCCTTAACATCTAGAGTTCATTAATATTGAACTAGACCTAGAAACAAAAGCTTTGAGATTATTTGGATTAGTTTGTTTTAAAAAGTATAACTAGTAAAATCTGTGCTAAATTTTAGCTTTTTCAGATCTTTTTAACCTAGTCCTAGAAGGAAACCAGAACTTTTAGGTTATCTTATAAATTTAATCAGAATCACTTTGATTCCTATACTTGGCAATGGTTAAACTCTGTCCTAATAATATTGAGACAAGGTCATAGGAGAGCCCATTGTTCAGCACACAGGACCATAATTTAGGATTTTTGTGTTGCCAGACGAGGAGTATGCAGTAGTTTCATTTTTTCCCCTTACTTTCTCTAGTTACTTCATTTATCTGATTCCTCATTTTTTATTGAGAAATAATTCACATACCATAAAATTCATGTTTTTACACTATATGCTTCAATGGTTTTGTTCATATAGTTGTGCAGTCTAATCCCAGGACACTTTCGTCTCTCCAAAAAAGCCATCACTTCCCATTTACCCATCTCCTCAGCCCTTGGCAACCACTAATCTATGTTTTGTCTCTGGATTTGCCTATTCTGGATATTTCATATACATTGGATCATGCAACATGTGACCTTTTGTATCTGGCTTCTTCCACTTAGCATAATGTTTTTGAGGTTCATCTGTGTTGTCACATGAATCAGTACTCCATCCTTTTTAATAGCTAAATAATATTTCATTGTATGGATATATCACATTTGTTCATCCATTGATAGATGTTTGAATTGTTTCCACATTATGAATAATGCTGATATGAATATTTGTGTACAAGTTCACACGTGGAGATATATTTTCAATTCTCATATGTACGTACCTGGAAGTAGAATTGCTAGATCATATGGTAACTGTATGTTTAACCTTTTGTGGAATTGCCAAACTCTGTCCCACAGCTGCTGCATTATTTACATTTTTACCAGCTAGTTATGAGGATTGTAGTTTCTCTAAACCCTCAGCAACACTTTTTATTGTCCATCTTTTTTGATATGGCCATCATAGCAGATGTGAAATGGTACCACATAGTCAATTGTTTCTTTGGTTCTTAAGCCACTAAGTTTACTTAAAACTGAGAGTATTCTGTGACATATTTTTATTATCAGTATAATTATTATTATTGAAATATTATTATTACTATTATTATTATTATTTTAATGGGTACAACCACCTTTCCATCTCCCGTCCCATATTTTTTGTCTCATTTTTTTGGGTCTATAACTTTTGAACCATTTAAAATCAACAGAGTCCTTTCAGCAGTTTCTTTATCCCTGAAGACCTTCATCCGTCCCCACAGATGCATCACCGTAGCTCCCTGGAAATGAAACCAGGGGATTAGTCTGCAAGAATCACCTCCAAGGACATGGTTTCAACAGCTTTAGTCCCACATACTCCTCAATAACTTAACCCCAGGTGTAACTGCATTAAATCACTGGGGTCTTTCATTGAAAGGGTTACAAGGAAGAGATTCTTCTAGCACTTAGTGAAGACGGCAGTGACTATTGTGAATATGTTTGACATGTAGGATTCTTCTTTACTTATAGCTGAGAAGATGCTATCACATTTGTTTTTCTTCTGCTTTTCTTTGAAGGGGAGGAATTTCTTCTTTCCATGAAATACGTTTTGTTCATTTGACATGTTAGGATTTGATTTTATTGTATTGATTATAAAATCTCATTGTAAGTCACTGAACAAGACTCAGGCTGAAAAGGTGAACTTGAGAGGCAGTGATTGTGAAGCAGTAAATGTGAGTTCTGGCACTGATGCAGTAATTTTGCTGTTGTTGTTTTACTTTGTATTAATCATATAACCTTTTGGTTGTCTCACTTATCAAATGGTGAAGGTGAGGTAGAGGACTTTTAAGGTTCCTTCTTGAACTAAAACTCTCATATTTTTCACTGGAGATCATACAGTATAGTAGTAAAATTTTTCTACTACTTTTTCCTGATACTTTTACCTGAAATTTTAATTACTAAGTAAAAAAACAAAAAAAGTTTCAAAGAAATTAACAGGAAATTTACTGACGTTAAGCAAAGAGGTAGTATACTAGTGATTTTATGGAACAAGCTTTGAGTATTTCATAGATTTGTGAACATATAGGGTAGTCCCTTCAAAAACGTCTGCTGAGCCTGTGTGTGCTGTGATTGTGTTATATTTTGATTCCCTGGGTTACATTTTACATGCTAAGGGCCACAAAAATGCACAATGGCTATTTTCTTAAATTTACAAAACATTATACTGAGATCAGAGCTTGGACATGGGCACAGTCTTGAGTGATATTAACCGAAGAAATGATTCAAGCCTGACAGTTGTGTTCTATGGAGTAAGGTTGTTTAGAAAGGAAATCTCGTTTCTTGATTTTATATGATAAATCTTTAAACCAAATGCTAATAGAAATTATGTGCAATTATTTCTCATTTTTTCTTAACAGAGGACCTATATTTCAGGCTCATTGGATTTAAATATTTGCTGATTCATTATTAAATCCTTTCTCTCTTCTGTATCTCCTTCTTTTTTTTTTTTTTTTCTGCAGGATGTTTTCACTCCAGAATGCAAATTTAAGGAATCTGTGTTTGAAAACTACTATGTGATCTATTCTTCCACACTGTACCGTCAGCAAGAATCAGGCCGAGCATGGTTTCTGGGACTCAATAAGGAAGGTCAAATTATGAAGGGGAACAGAGTGAAGAAAACCAAGCCCTCATCACATTTTGTACCAAAACCTATTGAAGGTACAAGACAAGCTTCTTTTCTTTAGACCCTGACCTGTGTGTTGATGCCAGTTCCGCTCCTTTTCCTTTCACTCAGTAGATTGTTTGTCATGCAACAGATCAGAACAAAGATTCAGAAAACACAATAGTACCTCTTCCTATCAAAAAATAAAATTCCATTAAAAATACTTGACACTTAGAAAACACTGCTTGAATATAGAGGCTAGCAAGTTCTTGAAAGTAGAAAAATAGTGGTAGTGACCATTTGGAATGTAATTTTCTTCTTTATTGAACACAATAATTTAATTTCTCAGGCTACACTCTTGAAAAAACCAATAGTACTATTATAATGCTTTAAAGTTTTTACAAGTCTTTTAGAAATATGTTTATATCCTAATTTCTACATCTTTGTGAACAAATCTCATAATATAATGTATTAATTTTTATTTGTATTTTTTAAGGAAAGAAAATAATATTCAATTTACTGTGCTAATAAATATTAGTTTTAAAATTTTATCCCTCTCAACTGAGCCTGTAACTTCCCCTCCCGTGATCATTTAATATAGTGTTCATTTATTTCAATTGATCAGTGGAATAAATAATTTTATGCTGAGGAAACCCATTTTTGGCAACTTGTTCCCTAAGCAGGATGAGAATCTCCCATTGAGGTGACCACATTTACTGTATTCAGTCAAGCGTTTTAATACAGGCTAAGAAAGCAGCAGTGGAGTGGACATTTACCAACATAACACTCTTCTCTAAAAGTCACATTATAATCACTTAAGACGTTAGTTCAGCTTCCTCATCCAAAGAAATGAGAAAATTGAGGCAGTGCATTGCTATCCTGTGATTTAGCCAGGCTTACTGTCCCCTAAATATCTATAAGTTATGGTCAAGTCCACCAGTGTAGGGACACAGTGCCTGCTGCAGATTACCTATGACTGAAACAGTCAGCAAACATTTGTTAAATCAATAATATGTTCAAAGCACTGGGCGGAAATGTGACATTCAAAGCTCCTAGTCTTTCTCAAGCCTCCCCTCACACCCTGTGCTTTTAACCACACAAAACAGAACTTTCTTCTGTTCTACATTTTTACTACTTGTAATACATTTTTACTATTTTGAGCTTTATATACGTTTTTTTTTTTTGCCCTTCTGTCCTCAAAATTTCCATTCATGTGCCTGGAGAATGCCTATCAGTCCTTGTAAAGAATTAATTCAAGAGTTAATACTTCTATGACGGCCTCCCTGACTTTCTTCAAGTAGAATTAAATATTCTGTCACCTTATTATTGTATCTTGTTCTCTCTTCTAGAAATTATCACATTGTATTAAATTCACCTATTTACCACTCTGTCTCTTCTTATCCATAATTAGATCACTTGTTAAATGACAGAATGTTTTATTTTTCTCATATCTCCTTGTATCTTGTACAATACCTGGCATATCATAGAGAGATATCCAATAATCATTGTCAATTGAATAAGTGAACAAGTGAATGAACAAATGAACACATAGGTAAGTATAAAAACAAAGAAGAACTATATTCTCCAGGAAACTTTATAATATTCTTGGAGATATGAAGTATGTTTACTAATGGCAGTAGTATAATGTAAAAAGTGATGGACTAAATGTTGCCTGAAATGATATTGGGATTTATAGAAAGAGCCAGCACTTCCACCAAAAGGAAGATATTGGAAAGTTGATACTGAAACATACCTTCAGGGCTAGGTCAGGTTCAGAACATTTGAGATGAGAGGTGGGCACTAGGTAGACAAAAACACTCCAGGTGCAGAGTGAGTAAACTATTAAAACTATTGCACCATTTTTATTTGTGCACTTAAGTTGATTTTTTTGTTGTTGTAATAAAAGTAGTGCATGCTCATTAACAATTTTTGGAAAATTCAGGAGAGTATAAAGGAAAAGTAAAAATTCCTTGTGTTTTGTTTATTCCTTTTATGAGTAATGCATTTCATACTAAATCCCTCCCCCGCCGACCCCCCAAAAGAAGAAACTCCTGTAACCTACCCTCCTGATCATGACTTCTGTCTGCATTTTGGCTAATCAAGCTTCTTCTTGGGTCTGTATGATCATGTACATATTTCTAAGAGAAATGTATACAATTACCGTGTTCCGAGTTTGAGAGCTGCCTTAATTCTTCATATTTGCTGCAATTCAGTACAAATGTGGGAAAAGGAAATCAGACATTCCTAGTTGTATATGTTAGAAGTAGGTTTGGTTGTGTACAACACAAAACCCATGTTAAGAGCAGTTTAATCATACAAAGTTTTATTGTCTCACAAACCAAATCTAAAAACCTGCTGTCCAGGGCTGGTTCTGCAGCTCTGCAATTGTTAGCGACCTTGGCTGTGTCCAGCTGTGAGTGCCACTCTCATTTTGTTTTTGTTTTTCAAATAGCTCTGCCTTTTTCCCGGTCCTGATGGCGATGTCATTTTGAATGTCAGGATTACCAAAATTAAGCTCCATCAGTGTGAGGATCTTTAAGTCATGCACTGGTTGCATGATAATAATAACCCACCAGCCCCTTTCCCTTCACAGCTTCACCCTCCATCCTTGTTTAGAACATAGGCAGTGTTAGTAAGGGGTTGCAAGGGCATCTATTCAGACAGATGGATGGACTTGATATTTAAACCCATTACCACGTACATTGCACATCAACCTTTATTTACCCTCCCCTGGAATTTAAGACAACAGTGCAGGCTTCACCATTCCCAGTTTTGTCCATTCAGAGCATTGTTCACACCACAAATAAGTAACTCCCCCAGATTTAATTGTCTGGATGGTGACCTCCCCCTTTAGCTTCAGATACACCAGCCAAATACTCTCTGACAAAGAACAAGAAACAAGCTCTGCCTTTTCTCCTCACTCCTCCTTCAAGGAGTTCATTGTTCAGCTCTTGCAAGTGGTTGGATATTCAGAATCTAGCTCCTTCCCCCTGAAAAGAATGTGTGCGCTTTCCAAGATTTAAGCTTCAAGAACTTAATCCTGGAGTGAGAAATACATTTCCAAAGTGAAATTAGTAAATATCAATTGCGAGCTATTGCTACAGAAATATTAAACTTGGACTGAAGGAACACCTAACCAGTTTCTACCAGTTTATTTTCTAGTGGGAAGATAAGACTAACACAACATGCACATACACTCGCACACATTTAGGACAGTTACAGATTACCCTTTCTGTCTGTTAGAACTGTTGTTTCAAGCTAATAGAACCTAACTGAAGTCTCAGGAGTATATAATGTAGATCATTGGTTCCCAAACGTCAGCATCAAAACCATCTGGAGTGGTTTTAAAAGCTACCAATTCTCAGATCAAATCTCCAAAGGATTCTGATTTTATTGTCCAAGTTATTTTGATGGCAACCAGGTTTGAGACTCAGTGTTCTAAACTGAATTTGGTGTTTCAGTGCCCATTTTGATCCAGTCTGGCCATAGGCCATTATTTAAATGTATTCAAATTAGTATGATCTATATATTGGACTAAGCCTAATCTAATATAGAGTAAATTGTCACTCTGACACCATGGAATTAAATATATTAAACACATTAATATATTTAATTACCTTTCCTACTGCTATTAGGTTGGTTGTACTTTAGTGCTGGGTAAATTCCTATGCGGAGTTAGTGGAGGTAATACCAACTATTGTACCACATTGATCACTAAGAAAGAGTAACTTGATATTAATCCATTAGTCAAGGATAAACAAATGTTTAATTCTTCTAATAAAAATTTTACCAATGATTTGCTAAGTAATTTTGCAAAAATAATTTTTTACTTCAACCTAGGTAATCTCTGGAGATGCAATTGATCATAAATTCCATATATTTCACAGGAATAATGTGAAGATTGGCATTGTAAGAAAGTTGGATCTCTCAAATCTGCCAGATCAATGCAAAGAGCCTTTTTCATTTTCCCTTGGAAATTGGGCATCGTGTTACTGTGTTATGTACTAGAGAAAGGCTGTGAGGCGTGGTATTGAATAAAGTATTAGAGACAATGAAAATTGAATTTGGAGGGAAAATAATAATCTCTTCAAAACCTATGTACTAAAACACCAAAGAAGTGAATAAATCAGGAGTCCTGATTTTGTAAAACTCCTATCAGGAAGATACTAATGGCAATTTTTTTTTTTTTTTTTTTTGTATGCGGGCCTCTCACTGTTGTGGCCTCTCGCGTTGCGGAGCACAGGCTCCGGACGCTCAGGCTCAGAGGCCATGGCTCACAGGCCCAGCCGCTCCGCGGCATGTGGGATCTTCCTGGACCGGGGCACGAACCCGTGTCCCCTGCATTGGCAGGCGGACCCCCAACCACTGCGCCACCAGGGAAGCCCTGGCAAATTATTTTGATGTTTTTATTTCATTTAACTTGAAAGAGAACTAGACGGTTTGTTTTCCAAAATCCTCTTTTGGACCGAAGCATACTAAAAGACAAAAACAGAAAGATGGAGTAAAAACATACTTTTGATGTTCTTGAATGTTTCTATTACAGAAAAGATAATAGCAGCATCTCCCTCTCCACCTTTTGAGTTTGGGATCTCTGCCAGCCTGTGACACCTTCTTTCCCCAAACCAGTTAACTCATTCAAAGCAGCTTTTTCCTGGCTTTGAATTTAGTCTTTAATAAAGCCCTCCTACCTCTCCCTGACATATTCTTCTTCTATATCTATCTCTTGCACACAAATACTGCTTCTGATCTCTTTCTAAATGAAGATATAGATCTTTTTGTTCACAATGTCTCTTAACTCTTTATAATAAATATTTACGGCATACTGGGTGCATCCTTTTGACAATACATTCTGAACCAGCACATAAAGTTCTGCTACAGTTCCAAAAGGGATTCTATGTGACATTAATTAAGATGTGAAATTGCTTCCTGTTAATTTCCCACACCCTTCCCTGATCTGCTATTAAGACAGTTAAATTTCTTTAATGGTCCATTAACTAACAGAGCAATCTAACCTTTCCACTTGGAAATTACAGAGGGCCAAGGAAAATTTGATTAA